GCAAAAATGTATACCGAAGCTAAGTGAATAGCGATAAGACATTAGCATTGTATATATATAATCAATATAAATAAATATATAAGAAAGTACACTTGAAATACAAATAAATTTTAAATAATTACAGTAAAAGTATAAGTAAAATAATTGTCATACACTGCAAAACAGAAAAAAAAATATGTGGAAAACTTATATGATATATAAATTAACTTTTACAAGTATAAAATTGTTGTTGTACTTTGAGAACAGAGCACATCCAGAAAATATAATAAAATGAATTAGTAATTAAACAAAAAATATATTTAAGATATTAAAAGTAACTAATATCAAATACTTTTAGCAAAATCAACTATTTTCAAAATAAGTAAGATATTTTAAAAATTATTTTTAAAAATATTTTGAAACATACTTTTAAAAATATTTTGAATTATATATCAAAAAATATTTTTAAAAAAATATTTTACCAAATATAGTTTAAAATATTTTAAGAATTGTTTTAAAAATAATTTTAAAAAATATTTACAAATTATTGTAAAGAATATTCATAAAAATATTTTAAAAAATGTAAAAACATTAAAAAAATATTTTAAAAAACAATTTTTAAAAAATATTGTAAAAAACATATAAAAAATATTTGAAGAAATATTTAAAAGAATATTTAAAAAAAATTTGAAAAATAGAAAATACTATGTAAGAACACAAAACAATCACTTTCTTAAAAAAAGATAATTTCTAAGTTATACAAATTTTTTTTTTTTATAACTTTAAGTTCTATGTTAAATTTAAATTAATTTATTTTTAATCTTTTTTAAAATAATATAATAATGAATTAATAATTTTTAAAACACAAGCAAAAAAGCTTACAACAGATATTACACTAAAGAAAAAGTTTTTAAATAAAACTAAAAACACTTCATTTGAATAAAATTCAGAAAGGCAAATTTGAAAAAAGATTGTATTAGAAAAAGTGAAATAAATCCACAAAACTAAAAAAAAAACAAAAACAAAAACAAAAATAAAAATAAATTTAATAATGAAGTCACACACATATTAAAAAATAATTAAAAGTGAAATACATTTTAACAAATGATTCAAGTAAAGAAACGTAGCTATACTAATTCTTAAGTTAAATACTAAATATTTAAGTACATAAAATGCTGTAAGAGCGAAACATAAATGATAAATATTAAATATAATGAAAGATGTAAAATGAATTGTTGTTTTATTTTATACTGTATTAGTATTACTCTCAAGGTGAGTCCATTATATACAGGATATATAACGAATCCTTTTTCGCTGTTATATAGAATAAGAGCTGAGCAGTCTCTCACATAAAACTATTACAAAACATTCATCTACTTATATTTTTCTTTAGATCCTTTTTTTTCAATATTTTTAAAAAATCCTTAATCATGCCAAAACAGCACTTTGCACTTCAATGGGTTGTCATCGCTTGTCACATGTTAACCATGTTTATGCGGAATCTTGAATGATATTCGTTAGAGAGCTTAGCCTGCTACTATCAAAACAGCAAGAAATTTCTACATTCGTGCCACACAGAATCGCAACACCCAATATGTTCCACACGTCAAACCCTTTCCCTGTATTAAAAATAGAAGGGCTCTTACAGCAACGGAGATAACGATTGTGACGTCGAGTAAGTTGTATACGAGTAACAATTAGGTTCTCAACAAGTCAACGTCAGATTTTTCTGAAAATGAAAGACGTCTTGTTCTTGCAATAAGCACTGTGCTTGCCCAATTAAGATCAGGATATAGCCAGGATATAACAGTCACTTATGAAATAGAAATACGTTCATACCCCGTTAACATCACAAGATTCTGTCACCTGAAACCAGACTATCTCTGTTCTTATCTAACTCCATATTACTTCCCACATCTCAACCCATTTTAATGTTGTGTATTTGCTTTAATAACAGAACTTTTCTATTTGAACTATATTACATATATGCATATTGTATATGCCACGACTCTTGGGCATCCTTTTTAAGTTTAAAACTATATAATAGTCACTGGGTGCTACATCAAGAGAATAAAGTGAATTAGACCTCAATTTTAAATGAAATATGTATTTTATCAGTTCTTATCATCAATTTACTCGGAATGTTCTGAAAACGAACGGGTCTACGTCACGGACCAACTTGTCCATTTTGAAGGAACAAGTGCAACACAAATAAAAGAAACCACACAAAAAGATTCCGGCATGCTGCAGTAACAACAACTTGATCGAAACTGAAAGCAGAATACTTAATCCCCCTCTGATATCATTTAGTTCTTAACAGGACAAGTTTTAACTTCGGTAAAAGGGGTAAGTGTCATCTGCTGGGTTAGGGTCAGTTGGTAACACAAAATATATATTATCGATTTTACAGAGTATTTTAATTTTATACTACATTGTGACCGAAAAGTTTCCGGTCACAATGTACAAACGCAAAATTCTTAATCTTCATCAATATTTATTTTATCTCCTTCAAAATATGCTCCATTAGAAGCGATACACAAATGCCAACGTTTCTTCCAATCATCAAAACATTTTTTATAGGCGCTTTCCGGTATGGCTTTGAGTTCCCTCTGCGAATTCTGTTTTACGTCTTCTATGGATTCAAAACGCGTTCCTCTGAGTGGTAATTTGAGTTTGGGAAACAGGAAAAAGTCACACGGTGCAAGATCAGGTGAATACGGTGGCTGTTCGATGGTATTTATTGAATGTTGGGCCTTAAAATCGTTGATAATGTTGGCTCGGTGCGAGGGAGCATTATCGTCATGAAAAATCCATGAATTATCCTTCCACAATTGAGGCCGTGGTCTCACGACCGATGCCTAGCTCTCGTGCTATCTCTCTAACACTCACATGAGGATTTTGGAACACGATTTCCTTTGCCTTTTCAATGTTTTCGTCGGTGGTAGAGGTCGAAGGTCGTCCAGAACGCGGCATGTCTTCGACGGTCGTACGACCGTCCTGAAAGGCTTTGTACAACTCATAAACTTGAGTTTTCGATAAAACTGATTCCCCATAAGCCTTTTGTAGCATTCGCAACGATTCTGCACACGAAATTTCGTTCGAAACACAAAATTGGATGCAAACTCTTTGTTCAATATTTTTTTCCATTGTTTTTTTCGCAACGCACTACTGAGGTGAACTGGTTTCAACAGCTGCCGTAAACGAACTGTCTGACAGATCGCGCTCATTTTTGGCATAGTAATTAAGGAAAGTGCTGCCAAACTACATAAACTTAAAATATCGAAAAATATACAGCGCGCGAATTTTAAATGAGAACTTCCGAAAACCTTTCGGTCACAATGTATATTAAAAGAGAATTTTTCTGTTCATATTAAAATATATAACTTTATTCATTGTATAAGAAAGATAATGTACTCGTATTTTTGACACTTTGATCACAATGCCTGAGATAGATTTGTTGGACCTAACATACTTTAATAAATTTGTATACAATATGTCGGGTATCGTAATTATTCTTAAGTATTTTTAAAATAAATTTGAATATCGACTTACCTCTCTTATTGTTGTAACTATTACAGCATAAAAAATAGTGTGAATTTATAACAGAAGTAATATTATTTGCGTTAGTGGAACTGATGGATCGTTATACAATATATCGATATTATAAATTATATTTTAATAATTTTAATCATATATCATATATATTTATATCCAGATCCCTTCCATTGCTACCATATTTATATGAACTGTAATAATATAACATTATAAAGTGATCGGTTCTTACCTTTCCGTATTATGTTAAATTGTTATAACTCATCTCTCAGTTTACGTAGAGTATCAATATTAAGTTGGCTTAGTCCAATACACAATTTATTACATATTTTTCAGAACTTTTAGCAACAAATGATGTTCCAGTAATTGACTAATATGCATATTCATATATGGCGTTATACTCTGGTTGGCTTTGACAAAACATTACAGATTTATAAATTTGCTTTACCCATATAGCACTTTTTACTACAATATCTTTTGGGCCTCACACTAATATGTTTCATTTGCCGTTTTTGTTGGAAGTAATATTATAATAATTGCGAGTTGCTGCCATTGGTGCAAAATGATTACAACTGATGATATACAGTCGATATTTATTCTCGTCCTACAGACACCCGTCCTGATATCCCTATTTACCAACTGCTACATAAACAAAATAGTCACTAACTTATTTTATTTTCTTTTTTGTGAGAAAACTGCGGAAAATAAATACAAGATTACTTCAGAAGAGAAATAGTCCTATGATAATTTCATACTTCAAGGAACTTACTATACCTTACAGAAAACCGCAGATAAGGCTTCATTAAATATTCATAATGTTATAAACTCTTAACATTTTATATGACTTTGCAATAAGTCATCTCGCTAAGGTATGTTTTTAAAATCAGTAATAACCGTTATGGACCAAAGTAATCTTATTGGATATTATATTAAAATAATTAAAAATAATTTAACTAAACTAAAATAAGATTAATGTCAAATAAAATTCTATCGTTTTGAGTAAACTTTAATCTTATACAAATGGTGCTTAAGTAACTTCCTGCAAATTGATTATCATTGAAGATATACGGTTTTGAATAGAACTCGAAGTCAAGATGTTTGAATAAGAAAGAAAGTACGCTCTTATGAGTTGCAAACAGCAACACGTCATCAGCATCCATTAATCAATAAAAATTAAGTATTAAACTTTAATTAGATCAGATACCTTTTTGAGGTAATCTTATATAGTAACGGATAGAAAATTTTATCTCTTCAGTTTTGTTAGTTTTGTTGGAGTATTTATTGATGTATGAGTGGCTTGAGCGGCATATTTTACAGCAGATTATTAATACTATTTATTTGGACCATCATACCAGCAGCGACAAAAAGATTTAATGTTTAGAAAATATAGGTTTTCACAATCAGAAATTTTGTTACGTACATTCTCCATCTGCAATCTGAGTTATCTGCGAATTATTTAAGGCGTTTTGAGAGTATTGGAACTGGCATTCTAGATCAACAGTTAGGTTTAGTTATTTCAGCATTACTTGATTAAAAAGTCTAAAAGAAATTTCATAATTTATTTTTAAATTTTCAACTGAAGATATTTTAAAAATATTTTTCAGTTATGCAAAAAGTAGGTATAAGTATACGAGTATTAATTCATAATATAATAGAGAAATTATTAAGAATACTGGTTAAAACTTACAATGAAAGCACTCGAAATATGTCCGGCTAGGTCTCTAGCAGCACTTACAATTTCATCATCGGTAAGGTATTTGTCGGCTTCAAATATTTCTATATGATTGAATTGATTAATCCTTGTAAATAACTGTAGATCCAACTCTCTGCAACATGTTCGATTTAAACGAAATGCTGTTCTATCAGTCAGATGAAACACATTGACTTCAAGCAAATTTGGTTCACCTGACGATGTGGCCAATAATACAATATTTAGTAGTGGCATATCATATGGCACATTTGTCATCATGAAACCACAATTTGATCTGAAGAAAATTTCTTTCAACTCTAATTGAGTTAAATTATCCAGGTTTAGTATACTCATTATGGCTTTCAATATTATTTTTAAGTCTTTATATACAATGTTTAAGCTGGAAGGTTATATATATTATATATTGCAAATTAATTTTTAAAACGAAACTTACTACTCAGTTATGTACTCTCAGTTTGGTGCTTTCAGTTTGGTAGACGTGTGAGAGCGGCGATATCTTTTTCGTATAGCGTTGAAAATCTTAACAGTTTTAGAGTATTACATCTATAGTATTACATCTATAGTATTACATCTATAGTATTACATCTATATGAAACAGTGACCATTAAACAGTGAGCAAATATTCATAGCCCGTCAGTGGTTTAGCACTTATAGATAATTCTCAGATTCATCATTTACAGCAAGTATTTAATCATAAAATTGTTGTTGCACTCATTAGATGTACCAAATAGGAAGTAGTTAATGTTAATGTGTATACCATGAAGTGAAACTATGATGGTTCACTTTCTGTTACATGTATTGGCAGTCCCGTGCCATATTAACATATTTCGTTGAGTTAGGTTCACATAGAATCCTTGGTTGAACAAAAAATATGTATTCAGCGAAGTACTATTAGTACACTGGTATGTCACTTTAGAGCCTCATGATATATGCCTCTGCAGACACCTCATAGCTTGTTTAAAGTTTAACTGCAACACAATGTTCACCTAAAAGTACGTTTAGCTGCAATTCAACAAGACAATTGGGCTCGCCATATGGAACAAACGTAATATATGCATTCTTCTTCAATAAGTTCTGTTATTGGTGATATGAAGCATATATACTCACATGCAACATTTAAAAAATTTAAATAATCTTCTACTTAGCATATCCAATAACTGAGGTATATTAAAACTACATTAATGAGAGTTGGTGATTATGTGCTTTGCCATATTATCTAAAATTAAGTCATATAATTCTTTTGTATTCATACGTGGAGGGTTTGTACTCACGTTAAATTAGTTTGCCAAACTGATGATTAAAATTTTCAACGCCAATGCCTGTTCGTATTATTTGAATATTAACTCCATACCAAAAATTTTCAAAACTAAAATTAAAAAAATGCATGACATCAGTAATTAAATGTCAAACTGAATTGTAGTGTTGAAAAACATCTAAACCAAAAATAATTTATGAGAACAACATTTCGGGCCATGGGTCTTTCAACTCAAATGTTATTTTTTTTTTAACTCGGACCAGTTGTTCCTTCTCCATGGGTTCCATCACCATGAGCTCGAAGAAGGCCGGTTGTAGTGTCTATTGCTAAGTTTTCGCATACGTTAACTGTGAATAGCCTATGATTAATTCTTTTATTTTGTGTGGTCCGGTACATGACAGTTCTAATGATTTCCTAAGATGCTCTGTTCTTACAAACACATGCGATGCACAATCCAACGCATAATGTTTTTAGAAATTTTTGTTCATCTGGGAGCGTCTGTTTTTCAGCAAAGAGTTCGCCTGGTAAGTGCAGAGTTGTGTCATATACCATTTCTGCTCCTAACGCGTTGACAGAGGATCAAAGTACTAATAAATCTGATGGTGATAGTTGTATTTATGTGTGTTGTCTTTAAATGCGATGAAATCGCTCAATTAATCCATTGGATTCCGAGTGATACGGAGATGTGCGTATTTTCTATGTGCCTAAGCAGTTTGCCAACGCCTTGAAAAACGCCGACTCAAACTGAGATCCCTGGTCAGTTGTTACGATTTTGGAACACCCAAAACGCGATATCCAACTTGCATAGAAATTTTACGCGACTGTTCAGCGGTGATGTTTTTCAAAGGAACGACCTCTGACCATCGTGTGGATCTGTCTATTATAGTTAGTGCATGTCTGAAACCGAAGCACTCTAAAAGTATTATTAAAATCAAATGCACATGATGGAATCGTTGATCTAACAGCGTAAAAGCTTGTGGTTGCTTATTTTTCTTGTTGACAATTTTGGCACGATCGTACCCAGTTCGGAACATCTTTCCGGATTGACGGCCACACGTATTTAGTTGTCGATTCGACACTTGTATGTACTAAGGAGTGTTAATTGTGTCCACTAGAGAAAACCTATTTGCTTCTACATTGCCTTCAATGTGTGTTATGCTGGTAGTAAACTCTGCTATGAAACTTAGCTGTCATAATTGACGAGATGAAACTTTATCCGATTTTTTATGGAAGGCTTATGTTAGAAGCTTGTAATCTGTGCAATTGGTGAAATGTCTGCCTTCTAATAAAGGTTTGAAATTCTTCATAGCTAAATACATGGCTAGTAATTCCCTGTCGTAAGTGCTGTAGTTTTTTGTACTGGTTTAAGCTTCGATGAGAAAAATTTTAATTTAATAAAATCTTTGTTAATTAAATATGAATAGATATATAAAATGTATATAAATGATAAACACATTTAATTTTTTTATGTTATGTATTATTAAGTTTATTTAATTAATATAAAAGCTTTATCAGTTGCATAAATGAGGTCATTAAAATGCGACGTTCATTCATTAGTATAAATGAGCAAGTGCTTAAATGGGACAGTGTGAATATACTATTATTACTTGGGTGTTGACCGAAGTAATGATAGAGAAATAAGATTTTAATGTTTAAAACATGAACATTTTTCAAAATATTGTCGAAAACAGCAACCCTGCGTTTCTCAGTAACGAGGCTAACTTTGCGTTCATGTATGCCTAAAATATTTTTTTATAATTTTTGTGATTCCAAATATCTCACAGAGGATATTTCATAAAAGTTCCGATAAAAAATGGTTTGTATATTATATATTTTTTATTAATAAAAAGAAAAAATTATGTTTTATACTTATAACTTGATGATTAATAAATAAATTTTTATTATAAGGCTAAGCAACTGACATCACCTAAAGAAAAGCCTTCGTCGTCTTGTACAGAAGAATTTCAAACTATTACCGAATTGGACACGACTGCAATACTCAACTACTCGGAAAAGTTATTCTTATTGGAAGAGTAAGTGCTGATATTGATTTTCCGTATATTAGAAATATTAAGTAATATCTTGTAGGAAAATGACGTGGGGAATGTCCGGTACTGAATTTGACATTGGCGTCCTTGCCAATGCATTGAGAACTGTGGGACAAAAATATGCTGATATGTATTGGGTAGGTGTGCCACATTCCGTGTTGGCGTATGAAATATTCAGGATCAAGCAGATCAACCCACAATATGGTAATTACCAGCCTATTAGTCTCAATGTTACGTACATGGACTGGGATATGCGCTACAACTATCAATTATTTGAGATAGATTCAAGTGGTAGAAGTTATGTTTGGATGTATACCGCAATTGGTAAAGACTGTGAAACTATAATGTCTATAATGCAAGAGGAAGTCCTTAGATATAATTATAAAATTAGTTTGGAACAAGCTAAAAAAATGGCTTTAAAAGCATTTCTAAAGGTATCTAAGCTCAGTCCAATCACCGAGGAAAAAATAGTTTTAAAGACTTTGCAACGCAAAAACGGGGTTTTATTTGTAGAACCGAGTATGAGGGATGAAATAAAACACTTGATGGAAAATATTTATGATGAAAAATTATAATATTAGTAACACAAAGCATAAGCATTCCATTAATATTTCTGTACACTCATAGAAATTATTCATTTTAAATAATAATAAAAAAATATATATACATAATCCATTTCTGAGATGAAAGTTTTATGAGAAGTATTTGTCTGCTATAATTTTAAATTAGCAAAATCAAAGACCTCCCTTTATAATATATACATATAAACATATTCATTATGAGTACTGTAAATGTGACTTTCCCCACATCAAGTTTATATCAGAAAAAATTATATATCTTGGACATCGGCCCACATAACAAACTCTATAAATCCTAATATGTTAGTATTAAATGACTTTACCTGACCTATATTTGCTCCCGTCTCTTCGATATGTGCCTATGGAGAGAACCAGCTAGTGCACTCAACTGTTTAAATATATATACTATCTTTATAAGTTATGTTTGGGTTTGTTAGTGTTAATATAGCGCAATGACAGATGGTAGTTATGATTTCCTCAAATGGATATGTAAAGCGTCACACCGACGGCCATCATAGCTGGAGTATAGATTCGAGTGCTAGGTTAGAGGTAAAGGAACAGTGAAAGCAAGATAAAAGCTAGTATGAATTGATGTCCATCACTCTACTTCAACCTTGCTCCACAATTCTTTGGAATGCTTGGGACTGTTGAACAGACCTTATGACTTAGAAGTGTAGAACTGAGTAATGTCTGAAGATTTGTGGCTATAGGCAGTATTTAGATGCAACATGACTAATTTGTTATTAACACGCAATAGATAAAGTAAAAATAGTTCTCCTTATACAGGAGTTGGCTACAATTAGAGGGCGATAGAACTACAGCAATGCACTTAAGAAGAGTTCATTTACATAAAAAAAGACCTATAACAATGTACTACAGATAAAGTGATGAACACAATAGTTAAAACACCTTACCTCCTTCGGATACTTTGTAAGGTATCATTATGGAAAATAGACAAATGGACACATATTATATTTGTATCACCTTATATACCTTATATAACATTTATTGTAATACTATGGTATATACCATAATACAGATACATAATTTGCAAATTAAATTAATAAAGATCCAAAATTTTAAAATTTTCTGTTACAAAAAACTTTAATAATATTTGTTTTATTATTAGAACCCCACCGCGTACTTCGGATTTATTATAAACTCAATCCAATTTTTTCAAAAATCCAAAATTTAATGGGCAATGATGTATCGCAACTTCTCATGATTTTTGTTTTATTTCCAGTGAGTGAATGTAGATTTGGATATACTTATCTGAGAATAGGGATAGGTTTTTTTTTCACGTTATCAA